GAATTCTGATATTATTGAATTCCAGCTTTGTCCTGCAGCCTGCAGTCACTCAGCTCTCACCTTCTGCCTGGACACTGAGGGCACCTGGGGCTTTGCAGGCAGCCTCTGAACCACAGTGATATTCTTCATGTTATATTCCTTAATTTGCCTGGAATATTCCTTCTGCAGCTTCATCTTTTCTTTCTGAGAAAAAGCAGAGAAAGGGGCCTGGAATTCAGCGGCTGGGGGGGATCCATCAATGAAAACCTTTTCCCACCAATATTCCATTTCCACCTCTGCTGCTGTCCAACCTGCCTTTGCCATTGATCCCTGCTCAGCACACAACAGGAAGCCCTGATAAATGGCACAGCTTTTTTTTTTTTTTTTTATTTAGTTGCTTTTCCCTTTTAAGAGCTTTTCCCTGGACTGAATGGAGGATGGAGCTGAGCAGAAATGTGACAGCTCCATCTTTATTCTGTCCTGAACAATCTGTCTCCATTGCACCAGAGTGCAGCCAGATATTTTTGTTTTTACACGACTTTGATTTCCACTTGGAACATTTGGTGGATCTTTACACTGGGAATGACAGCTCAGCCCCTTGAGTGGGTCATTTCCTGATGTGCAATTAGCCTTGATTGATTCCTATTTCTGGATTTTAAAAATGAGAGGGTTAAAATTATCCCCAGGACAGCTGTCTTCGCTTTTAGTTGAATTTTCCTGTAGGATCTCCAGCTAACCAAGGATATAAAGTCCCAGATAACNATTAAATTGGGAGCCCCCATTAAAAAGAGACCAAATAAATGGGATAAAGCAATTCCACACCATCACAAGGTGTTTGTTTTTTTTTTATTCCTTTATCCAGCCTCTTTTCAGGAGGTTTTAGCCTGAATTCCCTCGCTGTGTGCTCTAATCACATTTCATATGGTGACTTAATTCATAATTTGCTAAGTTAAAGAAATGGCAGCGCCCTAAGAAACCCATCTGTTTGTTGTTATTTTTACAGCCCTAATCTGTTAAAAGCTGTTTCCTCTCAAACATGCAGCTCTCAATTATCCTCAGTTACCCAATATATGCTCCAACTGCTCCTGGCTAATCCCAGATTGTCTGCATGCTCAGCCAGGACTCGCTTGGAATTTTCTTGTCCCAAATGAATCTTCAAAATTTTGATTTTATTGCAGAAACTCTTCACTAAGACACAACAGAGTAACAATTCAATAATTAGCATTGTGTTATTGCAAACTGCTGCGTTTGGAGCATATTTTTGTTCTCTTTTTAGCAGCAATGGATTTTTTTTGCTTTTATTTCTGGCCATAAGTCTCTTCTGCATTTCAGAAAAAGAAATATTGCTGGTGTTAAGATCATCAGATGAAAGAGAAGTTTATTTTTAATGTTTTGTAGATACATTTTCCGGCTTATATGTTTAAAAATGATCCAGCTGTGACAACCAAGAGATTATTGGTCTGAAAGATGCAATTTTCAGATCATTTATTTCAAAGAAAAAGAACAGAGGACTAAATTTCTAATTAAACATTTTCTAATAAAAGAACTGAGCACTATATTTACAATGCTATAAATGCAAAAGGTCAATTTATTAACAAAACAGGTACAAAGCAGAACAATTAAAACCAATTCTAACATTTAAAAATAATTAAAATTAAACCAGTTCAATTTCAATGGACTGGGAAATGAAGATGCGATGGTCACCGCTGAAAATAAAAACAATTCAGGCATTTTTGCCTCGATCCCTGAGATTCCCCAAATACCTACAAGATGTGAAGGGCTTCAAAAGCAGCCACAGCCTCCTTCTCCTTCTCGTGCCTGCTCCACAGGGATTCCAGGGATGGGATTTTGGGGAACCGGGGTCTGGCTGGAACCTCCTTCCCCTCCTGCTCCGATTGCTTCGCTATCAAAATCTTCGGTCTTGGGATCTTCTTGGCATATTCCAGAGCCTGAAAGCAGGAAAAGCTGGGGGAAATGAGCAGGAGAAAACCTGGCCAAGATTTCCAAAAAATATTTAGAAGATAAATATTCCTGAATTCCTGAGCTTGTTTCTGACAGAATTCAATCCCCGACTCTTCAGTGGTGACTGCAACACAACCCAGCCCAAGATTTGCTTCCTGCCACCATTAGAAGCCACCTTAGACACTGAGGGAGTGTTTTTATTTTAAAAAATAAAGAGCAACACAAATTTATTACATTTATAAACATTTTTTTCCCAGTCTCATTACGGTCTTGCCCTCAGGCAGGGAGTTCTGCAGGTTAACAGGACAAGCTCAGGTTCTCCTGCAAGTGCACTTCATAATCCAAATTAAAAAGCAAAATGATGCCTGGGACATGGAATTGGAGAGGGAATGGAAAGAGTTTTACAGAAATGCTGGAGCTGGCAGAGCCCTGGTTTAATCTGGGATGGTTTTGGTGCCTGTGTGCTGCAGGGATTTGGGAACACCTCACATCTCCAGTGCATTATCTCCTGTTCCTGGTGAAGTCCCCTAAAAGAATCCAAACCCCTTTTGGCCACTCAGACAATAAAGTTTTGTNTGGGGAGCCTCCCATAAAACAGACACCCAATAAATGGGATAAAGTAATTCCACATCATAACAAAGTGGTTGGGTTTCTCTCAATATTCCCTAAAATGTCCTGAAATTCCAGCTGTGAATCCAAGGGGCTGGTTCACAGGAGGGTTTGAAGCAAGGCCATGAGGAAAGGCAGGATTGGAATCACTTTTCCTCATATTAAATTGGGAGCTCCCATTAAAAAGAGACCAAATAAATGGGATAAAGCAATTCCACATCATCACAAGGTGGTTGTCTCAATATTCCTAAAAATGTCCTGAACTTCCAGCTGTGAGTCCAAGTTCCTGCCCCTCAGGAGGGTTTGAAGCAAGGCCATGAGGAAAGGCAGAATTGGAATGACTTTTCCCCAAATTAAATTGGGACTCCCCATTAAAAAGAGACCAAATAAATGGGATAAAGTAATTCCACATCATTACAAAGTGGTTGGGTTTGTCTCAATATTCCCCAAAATGTCCTGAAATTCCAGCTGTGAATCCAAGGGGCTGATTCACAGGAGGGTTTGAAGCAAGGCCATGAGGAAAGGCAGGATTGGAATGACTTTTCCCCACATTAAATCGTGAGGCCCCATAAAAAAAAAAAAATCAAATAAATGGGGATAAAGCAATTCCACATCATCACAAGGTGGATGTCTCAATATTCCTAAAAATGTCCTGAATTTCCAGCTGTGAGTCCAAGTTCCTGCTCATCAGGAGGATTTAAACAAGGCCATGAGGAAAGGCAGAATTGGAATCACTTTTCCCCAAATAAAATTGGGACTCCCCATAAAAAAGAGCCCAAATAAATGGGACAAAGTAATTCCACATCATCACAAAGTGGTTGGGTTGGTCTCAATATTCCTAAAAATGTCCTGAATTTCCAGCTGTGAGTCCAAGTTCCTGCCCCTCAGGAGGGTTTGAACAAGGCCATGAGGAAGGGCAGAATCAGAATCACTTTCCCCAAATTAAATTGGGAGCCCCCATTAAAAAGAGACCAAATAAATGGGACAAAGTAATTCCACATCATCACAAAGTAGTTGGGTTTCTCTCAATATTCCCCAAAATGTCCTGAAATTCCAGCTGTGAGTCCAAGGGGCTGATTCAACAAATTCCTGCCCCTCAGGAGGGTTTGAAGCAAGGCCATGAGGAAGGACAGAATTGGGATTGCCTTGCCCAAAATTAAATTGGGATCTCCCATTAAAATAAAAGGGATAAAGCAATTTCACATCATCAAAAGGTGGTTGGGTTTGTCTCAATATTCCCCAAAATGTCCTGAAATTCCAGCTGTGAGTCCAAGGGGCTGATTCACAGGAGGGTTTGAAGCAAGGCCAGGTCCCTTCTCCATCAGAATTGGAATCACTTTTCCACATATTAAATTGGGAGCTCCCATTAAAAAGAGACCAAATAAATGGGATAAACCAATTTCACATCATCACAAGGTGGTTGTCTCAATATTCCTAAAAATGTCCTGGTCATGAGGAAGGGCAGAATTGGAATCACTTTTCCCCAAATTAAATTGGGACTCCCCATAAAAAAGAGACCAAATAAATGGGACAAAGTAATTCCACATCATTGCAAAGTGGTTGGGTTGGTCTCAATATTCCTAAAAATGTCCTGAACTTCCAGCTGTGAGTCCAAGTTCCTGCTCATCAGGAGGGTTTAAACAAGGCCAGGAGGCAGGGCAGAATCAGAATCACTTTCCCCAAATTAAATTGGGAGCCCCCATTAAAAAGAGACCAAATAAATGGGATAAAGCAATTCCACACCATCAC